CCCTCATTGCTGGGGGAGGAGCAGCATGTCCCGGGTGACGCCCCCGGGAGAGGAGCCCTGGGAGCCCTTGTCTGGCTGCCGTCAGACTTCACCCCGTGTCCATCTTCCTTTGCTGGTTTTGCTTTGTATCTTTTTTGCTGTAAAATCTGGAGTGGGACAGCAGGCCGAGTCTCGTGAGTCCCCGTGAAACACTGAACCTGGAGATGGTCTTGGGGACCCGGCCACACAGGGCTGTTACAAGTTATGTCAGTTCGGATGCCTTTTCATTTGCTTATGTCTGTAGCCCAGGAAAAAAAGCATAGAAATCAGACTTGGGTCTTGAGGATTGGGGCTTGATGCTAGGTGGTGGCAAAAATACTGCTGGATATTTGTAGTCTCCTGAATAATTCTGAGTGAGTCCATTTTAATGTATTTTTTAAGAAGACTCACTGTGGAGGGACTGAAACCCCACATGCTTTTATTTACAATAAACCCTGTTACTCAAGATAAGTCAGGAGCGACATTAATTCTTTCCTGAACGAGCCTAATGAACAATTACCAAAGCAAATCGTATAATCAGGTAAAGTGATTCTGCTACCGATGTAGAGTTTTCAAACTCAATGGAGCCTTCGGAGCTGCCTGGAAATGTTTTTTTTCTGTCTTTACTTAGCAACCTTCCTTTATCACGGTATGTCTTCTAACTTCAAGCTTCAACCCCACTCCTACGGCTCTTTGCAAAGGACTTTGATCTCTTTAAAGGAAATGAAATCCGTTAGAGGGATGCCTTCCACATCTGAACCTACCTGCAGGGACCCTATTTTAACTGTCTTATCCCCAATTCTGGAGAAGAAAATCTCTCTCTTTCTCCAAATGGAATTGAGGACTTAATTTCTACACTGATCTCTATCTTTTGCTCTTGTCCAAGTCCTGATTCTCCCCATTAGCAGCTCATGCTCCCTGTTATCTGTCGTTCATCTCTCCTCTCTACAGTGCCTTTCTTCTATGGACACACAACGCCCAAGGCTCTTTCCTCCTAAAATGGCAAAACAATACGAACAAAAAGAAAGCTCTTCAGCTCTCACTCTGCAAACATTTTGAGGAGAGGTCCACACTCAGTCTTCACTTGCTGAAATCTTACTCATGTCTTGCCTTCCACCCTCTACCTTCATTCAAAGACCCATTAACCGCACAACTCAGTGGCTCCCTTCAGGCCTAGCCAGGCCTGTGATGACGCCGGGACCACTTCAGTTCACACAAGTGTCTTCTCCCGCGCCTTCCCAGTCCCCGACCCCCTGTGCTTCCTCTGCCTTCTCTCGTGTCCTCAGCATCTTCCTCTGCGTCTTCCGCTGCCTCCTCCTCGTGATCCCTGAGGTCCCTGGTGCCCCCCTGTGCCTACCTGAAGCCTCTTCCTGCGCGGGCCCATTTCCTCCCCTGGCGACTCCCAGGCGCACATCTCCGACTCCCCCTCCCTCCCACGCTCCAGAACCGTCCTCCCGGCTGCTCCCTGAATGCCTGCGCTGTGATGAAAGCTTTAAGACAATGCGTCTACAGTTAGATCCGATATTCTGCTTCTAAGATAGATTTCTGCACTTTTTATCAGATTAATGATATAACATCTACATTCTTCTAAGATAAACTAGACTAATACACATTCTCAACGTCTTTCTCTGCCTCCCACGCAGCCGATGAACCCCCAAACCCTCTCAGCACCACTGCTCCCATGACAAGAGCTCTCTCAAGCTTGCCCCTCTGCCCCATCAGGACAACCGCATCCTTAGCTTAAGCCCAAACTGTCTTCACCTGGGAAACGGCACGGCCTTTCTCCCTGTTCTCCTTGCCACTCCCCCTATAACCCACCCTCTAAGGAATCAACAGAACGATAGTTAAAAAAGTAATCATGAGTTTGTGCCTTTGAACCAGGTTGCCTAGGTCTGAATCCTCACTCTGCTACTGTCCTGCTGGGCAGCCTTGGGCACTTACTGTACCTACTCTGTGCCTTCTTCATGGGTGGAATAGAATATTGATAGCTATGAAGGTTAAAAGAGTTAACATATGTAAAGTGTTTACAACTGTGTCTGACAATTGGTAAGTGATTAATAAATACAAATCATAATCATATATCTTCTTTCTTTATCTAAAAAACTGTTACATCTATTTTGACTCCAAACAAACAGGCAAAGTCAGAGTGAAGCCCACTACTATTATCCCTCCCTAATCTGAAGTCTTAAATAGATGATTTCACAGAATATACTGCACCATACACCACACCACAGATCTCCTCCAGAAGAGCGTAAGCTCTAGATCATATTTCCATCAGTATTCCCAGAAAGAATGAATGAATAAATAATAAATGATGAAGGTTTTTTATATCACAGTCCATTTTATCATGGTCCAGCTCAGGTAGTACATGTTTCAGAAGCATTTGCGATAGATAAAAGTATCAAAAGGCAACATAATATTAAGCAAACAACTATCAAATGAGAATGTAGACCCAACCTATGACTATTTAGAACGAACACACAGGCCTTCTCGAAACCTCTCAGGATTTATACTGTTAAGCATGGAAAGTCTCAAACTATTGTAAGAGCAGCAGCTGAAATACTGATGTAAATAAATATTTATTGAATACCAACTGTGTGAAAGGCAATGCATTAGAGTTTCTCACAATACCGAAAATATAATCGAATGAGAAAACAAGGAATGAACAAATCCTAATAAAAGGCCAACTGCAAGCGATACAGTAAATGTCTTACGAGTGTTCTCACACTCAGGAGAAGAGTGGCAGGATGCGTTAATAATGGGAGGGACATCAGGTCACGCTCCACGGAAGGGCCTGACGCTTGCTGAAGGCTTCAGGATGAGAACGGTTTGAACAGAGGCCGAAGGTGGAGAAATGGGGTCCCGGGAGAGGAAAGAGTATATAGAAGATATGTTAGTGTGACACTGTTTACCATCTTTAAACCCTACTAGTGGTCTGATGAGGTAGGAAAGCAGGCTTTTGAAACAGGCACAAAAGACGGTAGAAGAAATGATGAAGCATGGTCGCCCCGGGGGAGAAACAGCATGGGGTACCATGCCTGGAGCATCATTGCGCGCGGCTCACTTTGGAGCCACCACAACTGGGGACTGGAAGAAAATTCACTGATGCAAGCAAATATGTGGATGCGAGAATTTGGATGCAAGAAGCAGACTGGCTACAGAAAAATAAAACAGTTGAGCTATTTTTTGGCTGTGCCATAAAGCACAAGATTGGTGGGAGACACTTTCATTCAAGGTGGGACAGGCCCTGATATTCCTGGGTGGCATTCCAAGTGGCACCCCACTGACTGCGGGAAGCAGGCATAGAAAACACAGGCTCGCAAGGGAAATGCTCCCCAGAAGTCAGGACCACCCTCAGCGGGGGTGGCTTTACTCAGCTGGGCTCACAAATTTACAGTCAGCGCTTCCAAGCAGTAAATTCATTAAAGCCAGGAAATTGCTTAATTAGTTTAAAGTGACAAACACTTCTAAAAATAAATGTTTGAACTCCACGGATTCCAAACAAATTTATCACAATCAGAACTCTTACAGTTTGCCTATGATGGCTGGAAAATTAATTCGCGATGATAACATGTCAGACCTCATGCTTTTTACCCGGCTTTCTTCCCCTTCTTAAGAAGAACTTACTTGTTTTAAAGGGTGTTGAATTTCCACCCATCCTTCCTTCCAGCGGTCGCATCGTTTTGAGAGCTTGCTGACTGTTTTCCAACCTGCCTTGTCCCCTTCTTTATTGCCCCAAAATGTCTACAGACATGATCACGGGTTATTATGCACTGAGGATGCTCTTGTGTGTTTAGGAACCTGATATGGAGCCTAGTCCAGTTGCAATGTGCTAACGTTACCCAGCTCAACATTTTAAAAAATGTGTATAAAAATCTACACCTTTATGTTTCGCTATGGGTTGTTTTGCAAGAGAAAAATCACACTTTATTAATATAAGAAATAGAGAAAAGTTGTGTTATTCCCACAGACACTTAATTTAGAAAATTAAAAATACACAAGTAGTGAAATAAGTGAATATTATTAGCACAGAGGATCGCCACTCAGGCCTCTGATCTCCCTCCACAACCATCCACATCTTCCAGAAGGGCTGGACCTCGCCCCCCAGAGTTTTACCTTCACCTGGGATCCCCGCTGGGAAGCAGGAGGTGCCGAAGGAGAGGTGGGAAGGCATGAAGTGGCCACGGCCGGCTTCTCTTGCCTTCCCCGGAACGTCCCCCCTAATCCGGACACGCTTTCCGGCCAGTGCCTCTTAGTGGACAGCACCGAGCAGCAGCCACACCAACAATCACTCAGAGTGAGTCCCGGGCTGATGACACCCACACGTGTTAATACTTGGCCATCAACTTTCAACCCCAACCCTGTTTGTGGAAGATTTCAATACCGAGTACTAACTGGCGAACATACTGACTAAACAGCAGCCTTAATGATTCACTTGAACACAGCATACATTTTGTTTAAAAAAATTGGGTTCTAAATAGTTAATTTATAATGTACGCTATTTATTACTGGATCATAATAGTGTTTTCCTAAAAGGACATCTATTGTCCATGTAAATATCAAAGAAATTCCTTATGACTGGTATCATTTCTGTTAATACTGAGTGAATGAATGGAAGTTGGCCAGCAGATAAAGTAAGAGAATGTGTGGCGCACTGTTTGGAGTTTCCAACCTGAGCTCATTTAGTAGTTAATTGATAGTAATGGTAGTCATTATACATTATATTATTTATTGAAAATGTCTTAGGAGTTTGATTGTCATAAAGCTTTCACAGGGTTACTTTCCTGACACTGATATTCAGAGAACACATGTATCAACCACATTTGTAAAAGCACCAAGAAAGTGTCAGCAAATAAAAAGAATTGCTCAGAAAAAATATGCCTCTTAGAATTATTCTTATGTTTTATGTATAAAAGTAAAAATAAACAAATGGAACATTTTAGTACCTCTCAGTTTTAGGAAAAAATCATAGATTTACTTACAAGGAATCTAGAAGTCAACAGAATGAAGTTCCATCACCAGCCTGCAATTAACAAAACAACAAAACCTAAGACAATATTATTTTACTCAGACCACCTAATTGAGTAAGACAGATAAAACATTATTATATGATCTATGGCTCGATAATATGCATTGATAGCATTGATGGTGGTAAATAATAATGGTAGCAATAATAATATGATGATGGTAAATAATAATTTAACAGTAATAATATGATCATGGTAAGTAATGGTAGCAATAACAATACTATAATCCCTCATTCCAGAGGTTAAACTGGGGCATACCATACATTCTGTCTTTTTCTTTAAATGCTACTCTTTCATGTATTAAGCATTTCAAACTGTCAGTTTGTTAACATGCATGCTGAGGAAAACAACCAGGAGATTCATATATTTAATTGAAAATAAGACAGTGGAATTGTATTCTGAACTACCATCAACATATATTCAGAAATTCAGTTACAATCACAGGGAAACTGATTTACTACATCACTGTGGTTTCCCAACAAGCTTTTACAAGTCGTATCTGGGTGCTAAAAGGACCATCCCCAGCCATCCCGCAGCCACTGGTGGAGCATTTGCAGCCTGGGTTGCAGAAGCCACTAGGGTGCCCTGGATGCCAGCTCTGCTGCTGTAACAGTTCTACCCAGATGCTCCAGGTGCACTCAGAGCACAGTCTGACACCTCAAGGCGTGGGCAAGAAGAGTTTGGGTTCAGGCAGGGCTGGGGCTGGAGTGAACCAGCATTGTATGTAGTGCTTTGCCATCCGAGGACCAGTGCGAAAGCAGGACAGAGTCTTGACTGGACCCTCATGTGGCTGAGGACAGTGTGGAACATATACCACGAATTCAGGTGTTTCTCCCTCACTTGCTCTCAGCATCTTTTCTTTGCTACACCGTAATGGCACAGTGTATTATCATACAATAATTATATGATAAAAGATGCAAATTCTATGGAAGAATCCATATTTTCATAGCAGACAATCTTCTATCAGGATGCGGTCTGATAGGCATTCAAATGCGTCTGTGTGGGGGTCTATATGTGTCTATCGTGAACATCCGTAGGCCGACCTACATTTATCTTCAGAAAATTTCACACAGGGACTTACTATGAACGTGATGATGCACAGAGGCGTAGGCCCAGATCCCTGATCTAGGAGGAGTCTGCCACGACAGGATGAGTTTCTAAATGGGTAGCAGCTTTTGTGCAAGCTGCATGTTAAGATACTTGACAGAGTTCAGTAATAACAATTGTAAAGTTAAATTACAGAAGGGAGAGGCATTAAGAGGCAAAGAAAAGAGAGAAAATTCGTGTTTTCAGATGAGATCGGTGAGGAGGAGGAGAGTCATCTGCGTAGGGAGACATAAGAACCCTCTGTCGTGAACAGGAGCTGAAGAGACATTGATTGGGGAAGAAAAGGGGCATAGCCGGGGTGGTGAACAGCGCACTCGGCAAGGAGCCTGATTCTCGGGATCGCTGATGCGAGGGCGGAGCCCGGGGCTCTGAGAGTGACACAGGCCGCAATTTCCCCGAAAGAGCTGCTCCTCACCCGGTGCAAATAGTCTCCGTGCAGCTTCAGGGGCTGTGTTGCAAATAGTCTCCGTGCAGCTTCAGGGGCTGTGTTGAGTAATAAAACCGAGGCAAGGGCTGAACCGAGAAGTCTGAGGGATACAGGAAAGTGCTGAAACCTCGAGGCGCAGGAGGGCCACGGGGGGACACACACCGCAACGCCGAGTGGGCAGCGATGCTGGAAGGTGCGGGCGACGTGGTCACTATGTTTCACTATGTTTGGGGGAAGGCGGCTCCAGGTGGCAGCTCTGCATCTCGCAAAGCCCGAGAGGGGGGAGCTAAACGTAAAGACTTGGAAGTGGAGGCAGTTGGAAACTATTGCAAAAATAAGGAAATGGTGACGATGCAGGGACAGGATATGTTTTAACAAACATCAGGTGGCAAGTGAGCGAGTCTCAGCGGAATCACTTTGGATACTCAAATCCTTGTTTCCACAGTCAAACAAAACAGGGCCCTGGCAGCGGCCCAGGCAGGATGCAGGGGCCCAGGGGGCTGCGATGACTGGTGTGCACGGCACAGAACTGCCACTTTCCCTGCAATTCAGGACCTTTCCTACTCTCACCAAGTGTACTCTCACTCCTCACATCACCTCTCAATTCCTGTCCTGCCCTTTCTGAGCTCCTCTGTTTCTTGCCTCCTGCGCAGGTTCCTACCAGCCTGTCTACATGGCTGGGCGAACCGGCCTCTTCGGAATACAGTTTAGCTCTGCTCAGGGTACTCAGTGTTCATTCTTACACCTTCTCGCTGACTCAACTCCGCTAAGGGACACTCTCCACGACCTGGCTCTGGATGCAAACACTTCTTCTCTGATCGGTTTGTACGCCACATGGTGGGGGAGAGATGAGATAGTCTGTGTGGTGTGACTCAACATGCATAAAATAGTCTCAGCTGATACTGCAACTATATATATTCATTGAGTCTAAAATATTCCAGGATTGCACTTTAAATTGCATTATTTTAGAACGAGGCCCTTGGAAATTAGCCTATTTAAGTTTATAGTTTGTTCCAGAATTGTAATGCCTAACCTTTTGGCATATGAGAATTGATTCAGTGGGAACATTAGCGAAATAGAGAAAAGAGCACAATCTATCTGGGGTCTGTTATTTGTCTCAATTGCTTAGATTGTTTCCATTTTTTAAAATTAACAGAATGGTGTCTGGCATCTGCCAAATAGAGCTCTGACAAACAAGAGGCTTGACTGAGAGGAGCTGGCATGTGGATCGAATGCTGAATTCATCTGGGGAGTTATATTTAACTTAGATGTCACAGTGCTCTTATCGGTTTGACTCCCCATGTAAGGTGCCTATAACTCTTTTGTCTTAATATTCAATTTTAAGTTTTCCTTTTCAGATTTCAGTCTCCTATGCTACCCCTATTGGCCTCCATGGCCCATCGTTCACCAATCTTACTGTATCATCTGGTGAATTTCCCAATCATTCATTCATTCACTTATCCATTCACCTTTGGGTACACCTCTGAACTTGGAATCGGGGTTGATAAAAAGACATCTTCATTCTTTCCCTTGATATCATGAGTTTTTAATCAAATTGGGAATCCCAAGATATTTTCTCATGAAAAGTTACAAAAGGGCAGACTATGATTGAATTCCAAATGAATGATATAGGACTATAGACATTAGGAGGAAGAATCATTGCAATTTAGAGTAAGTCATTCATTCATTCATTGAACACAAATAATATCTGGCATGGTTCTAGATATGCTGGAATACTGAAATTACAAAAAATATACATAGTTTTCAGTTGGAAGGAGACATGTACAATGTTGGATAGCAATAAGTGCAGGAAAAAAATAGTGCAGGTGAGGGTAATAAAAATAGTTGAGAAGTTTCAATTTTAGATGAAATGGTGAGGAAAGTTCTCCTTGAGATTAGATTTGAATAAATACCTATACAAAGTTAGAGGGATGTGAACATCTGAGGCAGGAGCACATATAGACCTTGAGATGAGGCATGTCTGGATTATTGAAAAAAAGAAATCTAGAAGGCCAGTGAGTGAACAAGGGGGGACTAGTAGGAGATAAGGTTGGAGGGCATTGAGACCAAAAACATGAGGGGGCTTGTAGGTCATAATAAGAACGTTGGCCTTTACTCAAAGCCAGATGTCCTTGGAGCATTTTCAGAAGAAAAGTGGCATGATCCAACTTCCATTTGGACAGGAGCGTTCTGGTGGTGGGTTGAGAATAACCTGACATAGGGGAGGGGAGGAGAGATCACAAAGGTCAATGAAAGGCTCTCCTATTAGAGTCTAGGAGAGAGGTGATGAGGCTTAGACTAGGGTGGTGCCTGTGAAGTGAGGAGATGCTTTCAGATTTTGAAGGTATTTGGAAGCTAGAACCTAACTATTTTGTTGACCAATTGAATATTGAATGAGAGAAAAAGTAGTGCCAAGGATGAAACCAAAATGTTTGGCCTAAGCAATTAGAAAACTAGTGGGAGGGTACTGGCGGCCTCAGCTCCGGGCAGAGCATGTAAGTCACACTGGCCAGCCTGCGTCTTCATCTCTTTGCTACAGTTGTGTCAGAAATGTGCACACGGATCAAACCCGGACAGTGAGACCCAACCTGGGACTTTGGTAAAATTATGGGAAACAGACGCTGTCTTTCCACTGGAGTTGCTTGACTGGCAAGAACTTAAGCACACAAGGTGGAGAGGTGACTTGAGAATGAAGCTCCCACGGACCCCCCAGGAGGGGGAGGTCAGGATTTTGATGGCATCACTTAAACACCCGCATCCCTATGTGCCGTGAGCCAAGCCCTTACCTGAACCTGTTATTCTGTAAACCCCAAATTAAACTACTGTTCTTCCCACAGTTTTTCTTTTTCATAAGCCAATGTGCGTTAGAATTTTGTCTATTTTAGCCATAGGATTCCTAATTAACATAAAATGGTGAACACTGTTTTAATAAAAAATCTCCAGTGTAGAGTGTAGAATGGAAAGAGGAAGGATAGCAGTGATGGAGGAATCTGCTAGAAGGCTGACCAGCCATGCAGCTCCGTGCGGTGAGGCTCCTGAGAGGTGCACAGGGAGGCAAAGGAGCCTAGCTGTGGGAGAAAAGTGGCACCGATTTCACGTTTGGATACAGGACGTGTCATAGACGGCCTAGAGCTCTGCGCCTGTGCGCACGAGAGACGCGTGGGTAAGGAAGAAGGCTGGCTTCTGAGGCGCAGCCGGGCCACGCAAGGGACAACCGCCACGACTTGCATCTCCTGAATTTGCCATGTCCTAACATGACTGTCACATTCAGCTGTGAAAATAGCAAAGCATGGGACCAACTACGTTCCTTCAATGTTCTGAATATTTGCTGATAGTAGGGATCAAGCTAACAGCCAAAATGTATAGAAAAATATTCTCTGATTCGCTCGTGTCAAATCAGAAATTCTCATTTCTCTTAAGCAATGTTTTTTAAAAGTCTGCCCATTTGGGGGAGATTTCCA